GCGGAACACAGAAAACTTCATGCAAACTTATACATATATTTCTTCTTAATATTAACAAATTAAAATAGCGTAGGTTCTTGCCGGTGACCCAATTACGACTGTCCTTCGATCTATCGTTTTGTCGCTTCCTAGGGAAGATGATCAGCAGGTTTGGCTCGGCAGGTTAGCCGAGAGATGAAAATTGCTCTCGGCTCCAGAATCCAAGAAAGCGCCGGCGGGCGCTTGTTGCCGTCATCATCCACTATCGACGAAGCACTCACTCTCTAATCGCCGTTATCACTTCGGTTGATCAGGTTGATCGGATGCAGGTAGTGGTTAATCATATCCATCTTCGGTCGAGGTATATCTGCTGTAGTTTGGTGTGGGCAAGGCTTGTTGATCACAAACATCCTCACCCACCCAGAAATACCAAATTTCTGAAAAGAGAAAAACAGAAATATCCTCTTCGACAAGGTGGGGAGATGGAACGAGGGTTACATTAGGTTGCGGGTTGATGTGGCATCTGAGTCTGGTTCATCGTTGCAATCCGGTATAGGCAATATACACAATTTTTCCACCGGGCGGGTTAGCATGCCAGTCGACGTTTTTACAGTAACGACCCGTACCACCTTGTCGTCACCGGGATGGAGCTCGTGTATGCGAACCATTTTCCACCGCATTGGGGGCAGTTTATCGTCCTGGATTACGACCAGCTTGCCTACCTCAACCTGGATCGGTGGCTTCCAACGCTTGGTTCTGGCTTGAAGCTGACACCTTCGCCAGAAATCTTGCAGCTTTCGTTGCATGAGTTGGTATTGATTGAGTCGATTGATGGGAACATCTTCGAAGTTTGGCTGTGGAATTGCTTGGAGAGAAGTTCCGATAAGGAAATGCGAGGGAGTTAACGGTTCCAAGTCTTCTGGATCCTCTGACATTGGAGTTAGAGGGCGAGAATTAAGGCATCCTTCCACCTGCACTAGTAGCGTCGTAAAATCCTCCGGTGAAACTGGATTCTCTCCGACTACCTTCAGAAGGTGCTTCTTGGCTGAGCGAACCGCAGCCTCCCAGAGGCCCCCGAAGTGAGGGGCACTTGGTGGGATGAAATGCCACTGAATGCCTTGCGTGGCACACTCCTTGGCAACGATCTCGTTGTGAGTTTTGTTTTTCAGCAACGTCAGAAACTCTTGTAGCATATTTCTGGCACCGACAAAGTTATTGCCATTATCAGAGTAGATGTCGCTACATTTGCCTCTCCTTGAAATGAAACGATGTAGTGCTTGGAGGAACCTATTGGTTGATAAGTCGGTGACCAATTCAAGGTGCACTGCTTTGGTACACAAACATATGAAGAGTGCAACGTGCGCCTTCACTGTCGGGCGTCGCGGAGCAGGCCGAATTTAAACGGGTCCAAAATAATCCACGCCTGTCCGGGAAAATGGTCGAGAAACCGTGACTCGGGCTGCTGGTAGATCACCCATAAATTGTTGGATTGTTGATGGCTTAGAACGGTAACACTTCAAACATCTGTGTACCAGTTGTCTGGCCACATTCCGTCCTCCTAACGGTAGAAAACGTAGTTTCATTACTGTTAACAAATGTTGAGGTCCCGCGTGAAGAAGCTTCTCATGATAATGCTGCAAAAGCTTGCGTGTAAAGATGTGTCGTGTCGGTAACAGGATTGGATGCTTGCAGTCGTCTGTCTCCTGGGATTTGCTCAAACGACCGCCAACCCTCATGATCCCATCCTTGGATATTAATGGATTATACCACCGTAATGGAGAATTAGATGGCAACATCGTGTTGTTGAGAATTGCTTTCCATTCTCGACTGAACGTTTCCTTCTGAACTCGCTTAATCAGAACATTTTCCGCCTCCCGAAGTTCACTAACAGATAAGAAAGATCCATTCTTCCGATTAGTTCTTGGTTTGCAAAGTGAATCCATCAAACGTAGCCAATAGGCAGTGCGGCGGATCATGTCAGTGTAAGAAGAGAATTTCGCGATATATTCCTCATTGAATTCAGCGAACGGTGAAGCTACGTTTGACACAACTGTACGACGTTTTTCATCCTCTCCTTCTTTTCCAAAGTTTGGCAGAAGTTTCGGCCACAGTTCTGATCCATATTCCAACCAGTTTGGACCTTGCCACCAAACACGATTGTTCATTCCCCTAGAAATTAGGACTGCGGGATTCTCGAGTCCTGGTACGTGCCTCCATTCACATTTTTCGGTGATAGTGTGTATCTTTGAAACTCGATTGGCTACGTACGTTGTCCAAGTTGTAGGGGTTGCTTGAATCCAACGAAGGACACATGTAGAGTCAGTCCAAAAAAAGGTTCTCGTTGTGTCTTTGATAGATGATTGGACCTTTTCATATAGCTGAGCACCGCAAAGTTCTAACCGAGGTATGGATTGGCATTTTAGTGGACAAACCCGAGATTTGGAAGTTAGAAGTCGGACTACTATCCTTCCGCTGGCATCTTCACTTCTCATGTAGATACATGCACCAAAGGCCTTCTCAGAAGCGTCTGAGAAACAGTGTATCTCCACCGATATCGCTTCAGGGACTATTAGAAGGACAGGTCCAAGTATCAGCATCAATATCGATGGTGGAAATATTAAATATTTTAATATGTGTGATATTTGCGTATCTTATACTTAGTCTGACAGTTTTTTGTTTTTGACTATTTTTGGTTTGAAGTGAAATTCGTTTAAAAAAAATTGATTTCACACCAGATGCAAGTCATTCTTTGATGATCGTGGCCACCGCCACCAAAATCCGCTAATTGTTCTATAAATTCGGCATTATTTCTGATCGGTTGATCTCAGTGCAAATAATCGGTCGCACTTCTGTCCCAGAAAATAGTCATTAATTTTCACGAATTCTTCATCGTCTGCGAACCAATGTGCTGTCCTCCGATGGAACGGGAATCGACTGACTACGCCTCCCCTGTAGACGGAGTCCCATAGTGATGGTTCCGTGGTCGTATTACACTCGATTTGCCATGAGCCTGCAACTGGCAAAATTTGCTGCTGGGGGAACGTCCAGTACCGTTTTTATCATGAAAAGTCGGAGTCGAAATCGATCAGAGCTATCGAAAACGAAAATCTAGGCAAAAATGAAAGCTGCAGTTAACATAAATAACAACGGTGAAACGTCATTGAGTTTTTTTTTTGAAGCTGTCCGCTTGACAGTTAATATCATTAATATTTATACTAAAAATTATAATATTTAACAATTTGAGCAATTTTTACAACAAATATTACTTCAGATCAAGTTGTACTTCCCCTAGTTCAGGGATGATGACACAACGGTCGACAGTAATCTGGTTGAATGCTGATAATTGTGCATGCAACCCTTTCCAGGTCTCACTCAACGTGGACGGGAGTGGTTGATCCCAGTCGAATTTTTCACCCTTCACATCCTGAATCGACCGTAACCTTTACATAAATATCTTCGCAGTGGTGGTAGAAGCTCCTTATAATCCCAATGGGTCGAATAAAGTGGCGATTATGGACAAAACTCGACGCTTTGTAAGCACTTCTTGCTGTTCCAGTGTGGGAATTTTAAATTTGAATTTGAGGACATCTGTATTTGGTATCCACGTTAGTCCTAGTGTTCTAACTGATCGGTCCGGATCAAGGATGATCTCCGTTGACTCCTTAATTGCCAGATCTTCCGGAGGAATACCTTCGAGCACCTTGGAACATTTTGAGGCCCACTTTCTGAGCCTGAATCCACCTCCTAACATCATCTTTTCCAATTCAATACGCAGTGATATCGCCTGGTCAACATCGTCTGCCCCTGTGATGAAGTCATCCATGTATACGTCCTCTTTAGCTGCCCGTGCTGCAAGCGGAAACTGTGTTTCCTCATCGATCGCCAGTTGTTTGACCGTCCGTGTAGCCAAAAAGGGAGCTGGCTTGGTACCGTACGTAACGGTGTTCAATTCATACACCTCCAACCCTTCTAACGGCGACGATCTCCACAGGATGCATTGAAGTAGTCTGTCATCGGCGTAAAGGTTAATTTGACGGAACATTTTTTCAACATCCGACACGATCATGATCTGACGAGTACGGGAACGCAAGATAATCGACCTCAAATCATCCTGAGTCACTGGTCCTACCAGCAAAGCATCGTTCAACGACACCCCTGATGCCGTCTTGCAGGAAGCATCAAACACTACTCGGACCTTGGTGGTGGTACTCGATTCTTTAACCACCGGATGATGCGGTAAGAAGCACCGTTGGACTGTATCCTGAGTAGTCTGTTCGATCTTCCGCATGTGTCCCAACGTAATATATTCTTCCATAAAGGAGGTGTATTGCTGTCGCAAATCGGCGTCCCTTGCCAATCTGCGCTCCGTCCCTTGTAGTCGTCGGAAGGCGATCTCCCGTGATTCACCTAGCCGCGAAATGATGTCATGGTTCTTTGGAAGTGCGACGGTGTACCGACCATCCGTGTCACGACAAACCGTTTGCTGGTATAATTCCTCACAACGCCGTTCCTCTGGAGAATAAGCCCTTTCTGAACCGATTTCTTCACAAGCCCAAAATCGCTCCATCAACAAATCCAGCGATTCGGTCATTGTTGCATTAAGCTAAGTTGAAGTGAATTATTTGGAATAGACAGACCTCCACAAACGACCCATCCAAAAACAGAATCATTGAGCGTCGGTAACCGTTCACCTAGTGAAATCCGTCTGCCAGTCTCGAAGAAATCAAAAAATGATTCAATTCCGAGAACGATGTCTACTCGATTTGTCTCGAAAAATGCTAGATCAGCCAATTCAATCCCGTTGGGAATCTTCCATCCGTCAATCTTAACTGTAGATGTTGGAAGGTTTACGGTGACATTGGGTAAAATCAAAAATTCCAACTCACGCGAAAATATGGAAACCCGTGAGCGCACTTCTGCTCGGATCCGATGTTTTACCCTTGTAGAAGTTTGTGCGATGCCTTGGACTGAGATGTCTGCCTTATTTCGAGTCACTCTCATGTGCTGGCACAACCGTTCCGTTATAAATTGCTCTCGGATCCAGAATCCAAAAGAGCGCGGGCGGGGTGCTTGTTGCCGTCATCATCCACCATGAAGACAACAGCAGTCGCCAGTAGAACTTGAGATGAGTATTGGTGTGCAGCATTTGAAACCGTTGTATCAGTGGTTGCCCCGTTAACCACTTGGGAGGAAGAAGAATTGGAAGCCCCTTGTGTGTCCTTGTTGGAAGGTGGGTTATTGTCCTTTGCTACTACGACAACCTTGCTCTCAACCACCTTTTCTGGTTTAAAACAGACCAAGGTATGATGACGACCCTTACAGTTTCTGCACGAGTACTTGGATTGACATTCTCTTGCTTGGTGTCCCGTCCTAAAACAATTCCGGCAGAGGGAGTGAGTTCGCAGCAAACCATCTCTATCCGAGACTGATAACCGTTGGAATGTGCTGCATTGGAATAGCGGATGGTTACCGGAACAGGCTACACAACGTTCCCCAAACGCTGATGCTTGAGCCGTGATGAAAGTCGTCTTCATGTACAACTGCTTCTGTTTTGGTTGTGACTGTAATGGGGGATGATGGGTACCTGTGGTTTCTGCAGATTTGGCTGGTAACGATTGCAATACGTGGACTCGTCGATTGAGGAACTCATTGAGATCCTCCAATGAATCGTTCTCCTTTGACGAAGAAAACTCTTCCCAACCTCTGCGCGTCACAGGATCCAGGCGTGACGTAAGGATATTCACCAGCAAGAGATCCTTATATTCCGCTGGCTCTACTATCTGGTCGAGTGTTTGTACTATTCGCTCAAAACCTTCTAAAAGCGAATGTAACTCCCCAACGGACTCCTTGGAAAGTGAAGGCAACGATAGCAGCGATTGAATCTGTCTTTTCTTCAGCTGCTTGCTATTATTATAGCGCCTTAGCAGAATATCCCATGCTACCTCGTAGTTCGCCTTAGTTATTTTTAATGGGTCGATTAAGCTCCGCGGTTCTCCCTGAAGGCATCCCTTTAAATAGTGGAACTTCTCCACCTCAGGTAGGTCTGCCTTCCAATGTATTAGGGAGGTGAAAAGGTCTCGAAAACTGAGCCATTCATCAATATCGCCATTGAAGTTCTGCAGTTTGATCTGCGGCAAGCGCACATTATCAAGAGCACCTTGTACCAATGATTCATTTATCTGCGTGTTTTGCTCTGATGGCTCCTTCTTTTCCTTCACCTGGTCTACGAGAAAGGACTTGGCTTCGTAGTAACGGTTATTGAACTCCCGCCTTTCCTTGTCGTAACTTGCATCCTCCTCATCAAAGTCATCATGAGACTTGATCTCGACTAGCGTGTCACCGAATTTTTCCCACAGTTCTTCTAGTTTTTCCAGGCGCACTTCTACCTGAGAAAGCTTGGTATCCTCCTTGAAGTCTTCAATGAACTTCCAAATGTCCAAAAGCGAAGATTGGGTTTCTTTCAGCCTTGCAGTCAGTTGCCGTAACGACGGGATCTTCTTGGTAGACGATGCAGCTGGCATGGTTGACGTAACAGTTCACCGGTAATATAACAAGAGAGATGTGGTGTAATACTCCGAGTATACACCTAGCCTCGCTGGCATATACTAAAAGTTCAAGTTCACTAACCTGACAGAACAGGCGGTTATGCCCAACGAAATATAATTTCAGAAAGCGATTACGTGTAAAACCGATGCAACGTCAACCAGTTCGTCTCAGCAACCAACCAGAGGAGTGAAGAGGGAAAATATTCGATGTAGTATTCAAAATAAATGCCACGACTGGACATATACTGTGGTGGCTTACCCAGACAACCAACAGCAGCACCAAGCCAGCGGGTAACAAGGTTGATAAATTTAATTCAATGATAAGATGGCGGAAATTTATTCAACAGACCCTACAGGGTCCACAGGGCTCAGGCGTATGAAGAATGAGTCGAAGAGGATGTAAATTTAAATCAACAAGTGTATTTACTCTGCTTCGGCAACATATACCATAATGTGTATTTACCTGGACAAATAATAGTTGGCGCTGCCTCTTCTCATCACACGTCAAGTGTACTATCGTCCTCAATTTGTAGATTTCGTTGAAGCGTAGGTGATGAATGAATGGCCAAGCAGTGAATGGATCACCACCACCGACGTAAATCCCTCAAGTAATGTCGGAAGTGGTCCTTGATCAAGTCCTTAGTGGAATCATGCAAATTCAAATGGTGTCCAGTAGCAGTCACACTCAATCCCAAACTGAGCGATTGGATCCAGTTCCAAAGATGTTTCCAAATCTCGGTGTAATCGTGCATGCAGTTTTACGAAATAACGTGTTAGAATCGAATTGTTTCCTAGTTGCTTCGGCTGGACATATAAATAGCTGTCTTACTAACCTGACAGAATGTTCCACACGGTGAATGTCCAAACCAAGCGACGCTGATCCCAAAGGATGATGGTGGATGTCCTTTATTCCCGCGAACAATTGTTGTATTGAAGCCTTTCTTCTCGTATGGGCAATTGTGGCGCTCAATCATTTGTCTTCAAGTAAAATGGCACCGATCAGCGTCCGTGTGGTCGGCCCAGTGTCGACGGTTTTAATTGAGCTTCCGTTGATTCTCATCCGGTTCGAAGGACCATAATGAACGAACCTGGCCGTTTCACCTTCCTTGACCTTCGACAGTAGACGCACTGGAGGCAGTCAGGTCCGACATCGACCAATGGGTTGGTGGAAAATGGGGTCCAATAGGCGATCAATTACCGGTTAAGGATCTCCTTGGTGGAAGCTCGTGGGTTCTGGGACATTATCCAGTAAATGTTCCTTAGAATTCTTCGATTCTTAACACTCGCGAACTATGCACCAGTTACAATAAAAAGCACATTTTTTTTTTTTTTTTTTTTTTTTTTTTTAACTCTATTTGTTCCAAATTCAAAATAAATTACATTTCATTTTAACCTAGGTGCTCCAGTTACTGCAGTAACTTACCAGCCTTAATTGTTATGATATATATCTAAGTGTTTTTACATTGTTCATGTCTTGGCAATTCAGTATTTTAAACAGGTTTTTTAACCTGCATGTCAGTATAACAATTGATATCTTAAAACTAAAAACTAAAACTAAATCTTATCTAAGTATAAAGGGAATTAATCGTTGCAATTGAGGATTGCAACGATTTTTGCCTGAAATTATTAATTATTTTGTTGGACATTTGTGCTAAAGTCTCAACATTCGAAATTCTATGTACTTCGGTTGTACTGTACCAGGGAGGCAACTTCAAAATCATTTTCAGAATTTTGTTCTGAATCCTTTGGAGTGCTTTTTTCCTGGTAGTGCAGCAACTAGACCATATTGGCACAGCGTAAAGCATGGCCGGTCTAAAAACTTGTTTAAATATTAGAAGTTTATTCGTCAGGCAAAGTTTGGATTTCCTGTTTATAAGAGGATACAAACATTTTATATATTTGTTACATTTGGCTTGAATGCCCTCAATGTGATCTTTAAAAGTTAATTTTTGGTCAAGTATTAATCCAAGATATTTCACTTGGTTTGACCAGGAAATTGGAACTCCGTTCATAGTGACTATGTGACTACTACTAGGTTTCAAAAACGAAGCTCTAGGCTTGTGTGGAAATATTATAAGTTGAGTTTTGGAAGCGTTGGGAGAAATCTTCCAGTTTTGTAAATAAGAAGAGAAAATATCTAAACTTTTCTGCAGTCTGCTGCAAATAACACGAAGACTTCTTCCTTTAGCGGAAATGCCTGTGTCATCAGCGAACAAAGATTTGTGGCAACCCTGAGGCAAATCAGGGAGGTCCGAAGTGAAAATGTTATACAATATAGGTCCCAGAATGCTACCCTGAGGAACTCCTGCCCTAACAGGTAGTCGATTAGATTTGGAATTTTGATAATTTACTTGAAGAGTTCTGTCAGTTAAATAATTTTGAACTAATTTCATAATATAAAGTGGAAAATTAAACTTTTTCAATTTAGCAATCAAACCTTCATGCCAAACACTGTCGAATGCTTTTTCTATGTCTAGAAGAGCAACTCCAGTTGAGTGGCCTTCAGATTTGTTTGAACGAATTAAATTGGTAACTCTTAAGAGTTGATGAGTAGTTGAATGCCCATGGCGAAATCCAAACTGCTCATCTGCAAAAATTGAGTTCGTATTGATGTGAAGCATCATTCTATTCAAAATTATCTTTTCAAAAAGTTTACTTATTGAAGAAAGCAAACTTATTGGACGGTAGCTAGAAGCTTCAGCTGGATTTTTATCCGGCTTCAAAATTGGAACAACTTTTGCATTTTTCCATTTATCAGGAAAGTATGCCAAATGGAAACATCTGTTAAATAATTTTACCAAGAAAGACAAGGTACTCTCTGGGAGTTTTTTGATGAGGATATAGAAAATTCCATCATCACCTGGAGCTTTCATATTTTGAAATTTTTTAGTTATAGACCTTACTTCGTCCAAATCAGTCCCCCAGGAATCATCAAAAATATTTTCCCGAGAGAAAATATTCAGAAAATCCCGAGCAACCTGATTCTCAATAGGACTAGTAAGACCCAAACTGAAATTATGGGAACTCTCGAATTGCTTAGCAAGTTTCTGAGCTTTTTCCAAATTTGTGATCAAAATTTTACCACCTTCTTTAAGCGCTGGAATAGGCTTTTGAGGTTTTTTCTAAATTTTTGTGAGTTTCCAAAAGGGTTTGGAACTCGGGTCTAATTTAGAAATATTATTTTCAAAAGTTTTGTTCCTCAGGGCAGAGAATCGCTTTTTAATTTGTTTTTGCAAATCCCGCCAGATAACTTTCATGGCAGGATCGCGTGTTCTTTGATATTGTCTCCTACGGACATTTTTAAGACGGATCAAGAGCTGAAGATCATCGTCTATTCTAATTGAATCGAATTTAACCTCGCATTTTGGTACTGAGGCAGCTCTTGCTTCAACTATAGAAGTAGTCAGAGATTCAAGAGCATAATTAATTTCATCTTTGGTTTGCAAAGGAATGTTTGGATCGAAGTTATATTCCATAAATGTTCGATAGTGCTCCCAATCAGCTCTATGGTAATTGAAAGTAGAGCTGTTGGGATTACAAATTATTTCTTGGGATATTTCAAAAGTTACTGGAAGGTGATCAGAACCGAAGTCAGCATGGGTAACCAATTGGCTACAAAGTTGACATGAATCAGTTAAGACCAAATCAATAGTGGAGGGATTTCTTGCAGAAGAAAAGCATGTTGGGCTGTTTGGATATTGAATAGTGTAATAACCTGCAGAACAATCATCAAACAGAATATTACCATTGGAATTGCTTTGAGCATTATTCCATGAGCGGTGTTTTGCATTAAAATCACCAATAATGAAGAATTTAGACCTATGACGGGTAAGTTTCTGGAGGTCACCCTTGAGAAAATTCTTTTGCTGGCCTACGCATTGGAATGGCAAATAGGCACCTATAAACGTAAGTTGTCCAAATTTTGTTTCAACAGAAACTCCCAAAGTTTCAAAAACTTTGGTTTCAAATGAAGAAAGAATTTTATGCTTGATTCGTCTATGAATAATGATGGCAACGCCACCACAGGGTCCATCAAGACGATCATTTCTATAAATCAAGTAATTTGCGTCCTTCTTAACCTTATGGGCAGGTTTAAGGAACGTTTCAGTTATAACGGCAATATGCACGTTATGAACTCTCAAAAAGTTAAATAGCTCGTCTTCATTATCTTTAAGAGATCGAGCATTCCAATTTACAATATTTAATGCTTTAAAATCCATTACTGAATTTTAAAGTCATGACAATATTATTTGCAAATTTTACTCCAGTTTGAATAGCATCAAACATGGAGTTAGATTTAAGCATATCAGAAATCATGTCAATTAATGAATTCTGTAAAAATTCCATTTTAGGGGCAGTAATGCTTCCTAAGTCAAAATTGTCAAAATTTCCGTTAGAACGTTGGTTAGTATTTTGATTTCTACCCGCTGCAATAGCAGCATAGGTAGCTCCATTAACTCGCTGAACATTGTTAGCAGTGAGGGGAGTAGGTACAGATGAAACATTTGAAGCAGGGGAGATATTTGTACCTACGGGTACGAATGTAGAATTTGTTCCTCGCTGACTGTTGTTAACAGCAGAGGAATTTGTACCTGGTCGGAAACGTGGAGCGTTTCCTACCTGACGGTTAGAACGAGATTGTAGGATCGCTTTGCGAGTCTTACATTCCCAAAAATTGGACTTGTGGTTTTCACCACAATTTGAACATTTAAATTTCTTCCAGTTCAGCTTCGAACCTGTTCGGATACGGTTGTGTATAAGTTTATTTCTGTTTTGTGCGTGCGTTCGCTGATTTTGCCAGATTAGCGCTGGCACTCTGCCTCCCGGACGGTTATACGTGTGTGATTGGTGGTTTTCTCGCTTTCCGAGAAGTTTTGGAATCGAAAAAGAAAACGTGATGCATCATGTTTGCAGGCATCAGAAGAAGTGTCGCTATCTGCGTTGTTTGTTTTTTTCTTCGCTTGTGCTCCCGGTAC